AGTTTCATCACCACAGAGAGCAACTATGTCATTTTGAAGTCCATCCGTCAAAATAAAACCAGTCATGTGGCACAACATTTTATTCAATATTTTACACTCACTATGGCACTAAAATCAGTCAGTCTGGTAAGGATTTTAGCAACCATGAGTCAACAATGGAGCACCCTACTATATAAGCTAATGGGGTATCATATACAGTTTTCAACAGTTTTCTGACGTTGATTTCTAAATCAACACCAGACTGAGTGTTGATTTAGACTGTTGGAGTTAATTTAGAAATCAACACTGGACTGGATTGCTTTTTGTTCAACTCTCTGGAACTCTTTAGTGAGTGTTAGGGAAACTAACACTCATGTTGTTGAATTAACGCTGTATTTTTAACATACAACACTTGCACTGGAAATCTGACACTTCCGAATTTGCTGTGTAAGGGCTCATCAAACATTCTCTCTCCACGATTCCCCTTAATAATTAGCTTGTCCCCCAAAAAAACCACGTGTGGATCATTGTCTTGAGGTGATTTCTTAGGGTAAAACTAGATGCTGTGGGAAAACTAACTGCAGATGAACTTAGTGCTTTAGTGGTCTTGTCCTTTATCTCTTTAATATTCTTTTTCGTATTTTCAAAGTTTGGGTACTACAATGAATAAAACATACTCGAGCTAAAACCCTGAACACAACTGAAAAACAAAAAGTGGGGAAAATCGTGACATAAATGTTTTCATATGTTAGAAGTTACTTTGTGGTACAGCTTACAGTCAGTAATTTAAAATAACAATAATAATAAATGGCTCCTCTGCACAGGCACATTTTATAATTAGTTTTCCCTGAATTTTGTTACCCCTGAACCAGAACAAAGATGTTTGTTTTAATGATGTGCTCAATCGCCTCACATCCAATGCTAAACTTTGATTTAGTTATCTCTATTGACTGACTCTCCCTCACCTCGGCTTGGAAAGCATGTCTTTGTCAATAAGCGTCACCGTTTTTATTCTATTTTCAAGGCAGTTAAATTTGAAATTGAGCTGCTCTCCTCCTTTGTTATTGATGAAAACCGTGCTGAGCTTCAAAGCAATGGGCGATTGGATTTTATCTCATTATACCAGTTTTTATGACAGATTTGAAGACAGAGTATACTTGTTTCACGCTTATAAATTTGCCTTAATTTGTTGGTCAGTCAATTTTATTTTAAGAAACTTGGAAGCAGTTTGTCACCCAGCAGATCTTTCAGACGTGAGGTTGTTTTTCAATGTGTTTTTCATTCGTATGCCCCTGAAGTGATTCCAAGTTGTTTTGCACCGACTCGTGAGCTCTTGGGGGAGAAAGAAGGCAATCAAACTTTAAACAAATATCTGGACTCCTCAGGCTCAAAGCTGCCTGTTTCTGCAAAACATAGGAGAATCGGTCTAGGTCTTTCGGTACAGCTAGGCGCCAATAAAACAAAAACGTAAAAACTGCTTTTCTCAGACAGCTAAACAGTATGGTAAGTGTTATTCCTCTATCAATTAGCGGAGTTGTGAGAACAGAAGGTGAATTCCTTACGTATGCAGATGGGCAGCTGTCCGGACCACTGGTTATCTTGGAGGCAGATTCGAACCGATGAGCCTATGAGGCGGTAGCCAGGCAGACACTGGTACACAACTGTGTCACGGTACCCAAAGTTTTCCCCGATGACCTGGCCGTTCACAATTCCCTCTGGGATTCCACAGTGGCCAGCTAGACAGGAAAAAATAAAAACAAACAAACAAAAAAAAAAACAGTAGTTATTTTGAAGGCCAGTCAATTAAGGAAAAAGTTAGTCATTTTTCAATAATTTCTTCATTTTCGAATAACGTCTCACTGGAACCCTAACAAGCCCAACAAAAGGCTTGGTAATTGTTTCCACACCCATAAATGTCAGTGACTTTGTTATTCATGTGCTTTTGAGTTAACGGGGCACGATGTGATGTTCTCTGAGATCTTTTAGCCTACTTCATGCTGGCAGAAGCTTCTATCTAAGTGACTGGTAAATTCTACGGGTCTGGTAAGGAAGTAATCTGAAGGCCAGTCACTTCAGAACATAAAGATCTGGAAGAAGTGTGTCAAAGAATCCAAAACAAGATGCAAATACTTTTTTGCTACAAACTTGATCAAACTCCATTACATTTTAGTTCAACTTCATTCATCTGCAACTCTCAAATGAAGACATTTAAAGGGTTCACATGATTTTGGGGCGTCTATTTACTCCATGAATAGATTCATTCGCACGGGTCTGATTGATGTGCAGCGCTGTCACGAGCCATTTCACAAAGTCAGAAGGGAACGCGTATTTTTCTGCTCACAGATATTTTTTTTTTTGTTTTTTGGATTGAGTATTGATTTTGTTCTTTACATTAGATAAAACCGTCACCGCAACTCCGACGTCAGCAAAAGCTAACGATTTAAACGCGGCCAGGGAGGCAGAACAGAACGAGAAGAGGAAAAGGTTGCATCGTATTAACTGTGTCATCTGACATTGTGTTTGAGGTGTTGATTACTTGAGTTAAAGGACACTCCTCCGGGGGACACAAATCGGACTTTTTTCTGAATATATTGTAAACACGTGAACACAGACACAAAGGGAATCAATTATTAGCCTGAAGCCACAACGGTTCATTAAAGTCTTATTTGTTTACTTCGAAGGATCACTTAGTGCTAGCAATAAATAGCACGTTAAAAACTGTTTTGCAGTTTTTTTGTTTGAATGTCTGTCGAGACTAAAGTCACAACGGTGGTATGGAAATATAATAGGGTCAATAATATGACAGTATGAGACATTATGGGATAAATTGGTAGAGAGAGTTTTCTTGCTAAATTGCATGTAGGCATTTGTAGGATGAGATAACATTAAAGAAGATACAGAGAAAATGTGAAAAAAAATGTATGAAATAGTTTTTACTAAAAATAAAATTAGAAAAAAAAAAAAAAAAAATTCCAAATACTTTTAAAATAATATTCTAATGTAATTTAGAACATTTGTAGTTAATTCAATATATTCATGCTTTGTTCATGTTTTAATTTGATCAATTTTGCAGAATTTTAGTTAAATAAAATTAAAGATATGCATAGATCTAGCAAAATTACTGAATAAATAAAATTGCTAAGTGTAGAAGAAGTTGCATATAATATTCAATTTTGCCGTTTGTCTCTTCATAGAGTCACCCAAATAAAATTATATTATTAGATTAATCAGTTGTCCTACCGTATAGCTATACTGCAACATGCTTCACACACATGTTGACTGCAGATTTATTGAGCGGTTCTAAAACGGGGTTACTTTAATAAGAATGATAAGCAGTTGTTTTAGGCTGTTGGAGGTGTTTCTAAACAGCTCTATTGTGTTTGTTATTGTCGAGGGAACAAGGGAAAGGTGTGCTAGCCTTCTTTCAGCCAGCGAAGCAGAAGGTGCAACAATGGGTCCGAAGAGACATTTAGCACTGCGTTATTCTACGCTCAAATCAGTCAGAGAAAACTCTGGTCACTTCAGCACTTTAGAGTCTCGCTAAATGGATTTTAAATAATAGCATTTTTTTTCTTATGCTTTTTTAAAACTAAGTCTTTAAGAAACCTTTGCGTATTTTTGCACTGTAAATCGACCTATGTGTTACATCAGCTCAACTTGACACACGTTTCTTTTTATACTGTGATATTACCATAGAAAGAAAAATAAAGTGTTGTATTTCGCCATATGATGTTAACAACCATGTCCACTTTCAGTGTGTCAACCATCCCATCACTGGACTGACAGCAGCTATCTTGACCTTAAGTAAAACCAAAGAGCTGTGTGTCAGAGGAAGGTTGACAGACAGGGTCTGTATTTAAAGCCAGTATAAAAGATCAGGAAGTGGAACAGGGTGCTTATTTTAAAAGGCTTGGTACAGTTGTGGATAGAAAACTTTCATGTAGACTACATTTAGAAATAGCCAAGACATTGACTCTCGTTTGAAGAAATTAGGAAGGTTTAATGTCGATAACCACACGTCGACCATGGCTTACTGAGTGTGTTCTCTCAGACCTGTAGGAGTATTTTAAAACAGCTCTCACTCCAGGAATTAAGTGATTGTTTGATGCATAAGACAGCCACTCAGGTGAATAAGGACTTAACATGACTAACTGTGCTTGGGTTTATGTGCTCAACTTATTTGCTTAGTCTTATTTGTATGAACCTTATTAGCTACACACTAAAGGAAATGGTCAATTCCTAAGTACAACTAATGGATAATAAAAGTATAATTTCTGATTTTTAGAACACCAAGATGACTGACTGAATGTCCTATTAGTGTCATGATATGTGGGAGCTTACCCCATATTTAGGCACTCGAGAGCACTCAAGATCTAAAAGGCTTTAAAAAAAAGTCCCATGTTCAAAAGGAAAATAAACTGTGCCAACTGAGCCAACAGGGCATGAAATAAACAAAGAAGCTGACAAATGACTAAGAGAGGTGGTTGTTAAGTGGAGACAGGTAAGCTTGTTGGGAATATGGAGCAGATGGTGAATTGGGGAGATGGAACAAGGACAACTGAGGACATCTAGAAAGTATGGCAGCAATAACAAGAACAAGCCATCAAAGCTATGTGTAAACTGTTAGAGGAGGAGGAGAAAAAAAAAACAACGGCAATGACTGAAGCTGAAGCAAGAATAGAAATTAGAGAAATAAAACAAAAGCTAGAAACATGACCAGAGACTTAAGCTATGATAGTTTGCAGCATAAATGTCTATTTGTTGTTGACTAAATTACGCCTCATCATCATTTTAGACGAAGCTTTCCCATATTTGAATTTAAATCCTGCGCCGACTCCCTCCCCTTAGCCTGTGATGTATTCCTGCAAGCCTTCCTCCTGCTGAGGCTTCACCAGAAAATGACAGCTCCCTGTCATAACACGTGTTACCCCTGGCTGGCACGCTGGCAGAAGAAAGATACAGTTTCTGTGGGAATCATATATAAAAAATGAAGTTCTAAATTAACTCAGAGTGGAGCCGAAGCTCAGCCAAGATGGTGTTGTTCACGAGGTGGACAAGGTCAGAGGGGAGCAGCTGTGAGGCCAGACGTGAGGTGTGGGGCAAGACCCTTCCTTTGATACCTGTCCTCATTAGACTGACGCGGAAAAACCACATCTTCCTCGCTTTCATTCTAATGGTGGTTCTTGATACAGAGCTGCACAAAAGTATTCCTACCCAGGCGATCCTTTTAGTGTTTGTCACATTACAGCCAAAAAAATCTCAATGGATTTTAGTGGGATTTCATGCGATACGCCAACACAAAGTAGTGTGTAGTCACATATGTTTTTTTTTTTTTCTAATTATTTTATAAATAGAAAACTGAAAGGTGTGGTGTGAATTTGTATTTTTTTAACTAAACCCCAAAATGAAATCCAATGCAACCAACTGCTTTTAAGCAAATTGCCTAACTTCTTCACATATGTGGAAATGAAAATCTGAGAAAAAGTTCAAGTTGTTTGCCTAGAGCAAGGTACTGTTTGCACGATGGAGTGAAAGGGTTAAAAAAAAAGGAAAAAAAAAAAACTTAAATAAATACATACATATTTTAATTAATATTTATTAGGCATGGAATATTGTAATTTTTCTCTTCCAAATTTGTGACTTTTCAACATCAGATCATATCTAATTTTCTTTTTACATAAACATGAAATACATTTTTTATGTACAATGCTCCTAATACTCCATCATAAAGTACGTTTATGGGTGTGGTTGAAGCAGTGTTCTTTGTCCATCATCAGTTTTGGATAAAAATCAGAAAATTACCGTTTTATTAAAATATGTTACTCTAGATGTAGCATAAAATTCCATAAAAATAAAGTGCAATTTACTTTCACGATTACTCACCTAAACACTTTGTTTCCGTTCCGCTCCAAAGCCCAGATGACAGGCACTCTCTGACAGCTGACCCCACCAGCATGAAGCCAACATCGCACGTAAAGATGGCCGTGGCGCCAAACGTCGTCTGAGTACCAATCTTCTTTCCATTGTGAGGCGAAGGAAGGTCGCCGCACGAGATAACTGCAAAACATGGTTGGACACAGACAATTTAATAATCAGCTGCCAGCCACTTTAGCACCGGGTTAATTTTAGAAGCTGCTAGGCCTCATTTCAGTTTCAGCAAGAAGTGCTGCCATCCTGGCAAGATGTGCAGCAGGCAAATTTGGTTCTGCTGTTTTTTTCCCCTCCTTCTCCACTTACAAAGTGCCCAGTGAGGAAAATAACAGGACATGGAGAAGTGCCACAGTATTCTTTGAATAAAAATAACGGTGATCCAAAATGTCAAAGAATCCCAGGAAGAGATCTCCTGAATGACAGCGAAAAATGTCAACTCTCCCAGGTTAAATTATGGATTGGAAGGATGAAAGTTTAACCTTGTATGGTGACTCTGTCATCTTTGGATAACATCAAATTAGATGAAAGCAGAAAAAAAAAAGAATTTAAACATGACAGTCGATATAAAATGACAAGCTTTTACAGGCTATTTTTTTTTTTCAAGACAGAACTGTCAGATGGGTTTATATGTAAGCCAGGTTTTGATTCTAGCTGATTCTAGCTGTCATCGAGCTTCTGGCTCTAGTGTTACGCACAAAATGAGAAACCGGGTACAACGTGTCATATGGGTAACACGTTCATGGTTCAGGTAGCATATAACTCTGCAAAAAAACTTCACTATTCTGCAAAATTTCACAATCCACTTTTAATGGTATCAACATTTCTATTGTTATGCCACCATCTGTTTTCCTCTGTCTTTCTCCAGGTCAGCTACAAGAACTGACGGAAAGCTTTTAATGTAAAATATTTGAAACAACCCCAGAACACAAAAGAAAATTATGCTGTGAAAAGGCGAGATCCAAGGAGAGTGACACTATCCACAGCGATGAAGTAATGAAATCATGACTATCTTGGCATTGAGCATGTTGAGATAAGCAAACTTTAGTGCACGTTCTGCATAGAGTAGGATGGGAAAATGTACTGTCATTATAGGGTTAATCCTGAGATATTTACTGATTAGCACCGGCTGCTATTAGCGATATACATCCCATGTCTAAGTTGCAACCTGTATGACGCAGAATTTTTCACATATCCCAAAAAGTCCTCGGCAGTCAAGCTTAGCTGGATGTCGAACATCATCCACTAAAGTATCTGACGCAAATAAATTTGATGTTAGTTCCCTACAGCCACATTTCCTCACCTATGCTAGATGCACAAGGCAGATTTGAAGGAGTGTGACAGGAGTTTCAGCAATGCAGCGATCAATAAGCCAGAGTTCAAAATCATTATATTTTCCCTTGACTGGCTCTAAGCAGTTAATGTCAGGAGAAACACTGAAAAATCAGATATATTTTTTTCTGGCCCATTAAATTCTTTACAACTAAAATCTGACTCTGTTTTGAGTTTAGCACAAAAAAAAAAAGAAAAAAAAATCTAATAAATATGATGTTTGGGTAGCTATACATGGGGAGGCAGTTAGAACTGTTGTCTTGCAGTAATCCCTCCGTCTATGTGATTCCTTGCATTATTCTATCAAGGAATGTGCAGACAAGTTTTCTCTTGATGATTCAATATTTATTAAATTAAAGAATGTTTGCACAAATGAGTTTGTATTTGCTTTACATGTCTGAAAGAAAATTAGTTTTCCCGTAACCTCACTCAGCAAGTCTGACCTCAAAGGTAAAAACTGAATAATCGGCTGGTGAAACTCTGATCAACACATTTATTAATAACCCATGAAGAAAAAAAGAGAGGATAGTGTGGAAAGATTTCTATTTCAGTTACTTTGCATTGCAGCTTACTTATCGTTTTTAGCTTAAAGTACGATTGCATTTCCAATCTGTCTCTTGGATAGGACATTACGTTCATGATTCACTGAAGTTTTCTATAATATATAATGTATGAGTAGCATAAACGGGAGAATAATTATGGATGCAAGATGAAAACCCCTGCAATTTCTCCAACAAATGGACGGTGGAAGTGAATCATTTTATTGTTGATGTATCTACGCAAACGCTGTGATGATGGTGGATGTATTTGCTTTCTTCTAAAGCATTTTCAGATCGTCTTGGAGGGTGTGGTAGAACAGCTTCTATGTATGTGTGTTGGCTATGAATTTTGCTGAAAATTTGCATTGTTTTTGAAAAGATATACAACTTTTAAGTTCACCACAGTAATTTCTGTACATGTCGTATTTTTGGCATGCGATTTTGGTTGAATCTATTAACATTTTAACCAAAATTAAGCTGGGATTCAAGGGATATCTTACAAAAATCCAGTTGACAGCAGTTTTATTCAAGTGTTTTGTTGGCTTCTTATTTTTTTAATCCCCATTCACAATTGTCATCCAAAATCTTTGATATCTAAAGCTTAATTAGAGGGGTTTGGCAAAAATGAGGAGAAATACATGGAGAAGGACATTACAACTCTGTTTACTTCCTCCAAAAAAATAGACGACAAATAAATAAGAAGAAAGAGTTATCCTCTGGAAAAGCTGCAAACACTGTTTACTCCTTTATTGTTAGTGCTGTGGGCATTTTATTATTACATCTTTTCTACTCACTCTGGCAGTGCGGCCTCTCGTTCTTCCAGCTCCACACCCCATTGGCTAGACACTGGATGTGGGCGGGGCCTAACCTGTAGTACCCCGGGTCGCAGGTGAATACGATGCGAGTTCTGTACTCGTAGTGCGAGCCGTTAACAATCCTCCAGCGGCCGTGCTCCAGGGAAAACGACCCGATGCTGGGACAGACTACCACTACACAGGCAGGAGAAAACGAAGCCTTATTAGACCTACTCACTTTGGGAAAATCCAGTAATATCACTTTTTGTACTTCTGCATCAAAATCATGACATATTGAGATTTGGTCCGTCTGTTACACAGCCTGGTGCCGGGACGCGCATGTCACTAACCGGAACATCTCGGTATCTTGTTATGGTTGCTCCATGTTCCGTCAGGCTGACAGATGGCTGATGTCAGTTCTTTACTGGAGAGTCTGTATCCGTCGTTGCAGAAGTAAGAAACTCTTGTTCCCACGGAGTAGTCGGCGGTTAGCACTCCACCGTTTATCGGTGCCTTGGGTGGCCCGCAGGAGACGGCTACGAAAGGAGAGGGATGCACTGATTGAGAACATCCAAACACCTTCTGCGTTCTGTTTCATTTGTGGATGCAAAACATACAATTCCAGGCAGTGTTTTGTATCTTCTCATCAAAGTTGTTAATATCATACTTATTTCCGTCTAAATTTATTTTTTTCTTTTTAACCATTCAACTTTAGAGGTGGAGCAATAATACGCAACTCCAATGAGTTTTAAAATTAAGACCTGGGTGCACAAGTTTAAAGACGTACACTGACATCCACATAGATGAAACGATGGAGGCTCCCATAACCTCACTAATATTTAACTAAACGTGCCTCAGCATGCCTTGACGAGACGATTTTTGTCAACAAGTTTCAATTGGATTTCTGCTCCACGTATTTAATAAAGAAATATAGTTCATTTAAGTTGGTTGGTTTCTTAGTAAAAATTCAGCTTTTAAAAATATTAGATGTATTTTTAATGATGCCAATGTTGGGTCCATTTCAGACTCTTGATTTCACTGTAATTCATCCATTACAAAACCAGCTTTGATGTACGTCTTGTTGGAAGATATAATTCTCTTCAGGTTTTAACTTTCTATCGGTTTAGATGAAGTTGTAGCATATGGAGGGAGTTGTCCGTCTTCAAAACTTCTTACACTTAGTTTGATGCCTTATGATGAGGCTACAACCAACCATGATTGAACGAGTTCTTGGGTTTAAAATCTCCACCAAACCATCCTCTGGACATTGTGGGCAATTAGCTAAATATTTGTGGGCAGTTGCAAACTTTGGTTGAGCTGAAAGTGTCAAAACACATATAGCAAAGCCATAGGAGAGCATTGAAATGCCTTGCGAATTTTTGTCTCCCCCCCTCTGTGTCTCACTCACACATGACAGTTTTCAGAGAGGATTAATTACCATAGCAACAGGAGGGCAGAGATGTAGAGAACTTCAGAGATGGCGCCAGTCAGTACAGAGGAGGGCAGAGCTTCTAGTTAGAGCTACAGAGACGTCACCTTGGTGTAACACTTACTACAGACAAGTATATATGTTTTCCCACCGATGACAAAAAACAATTCTTGTTAAGTAGTAAGTAGTATAAGACGAGTAGTATTTCAAAAGAGCAGAAGAAATTTGAACAATAACAATATCTGTTGTTAATCTGTTGCTAAGAGATGAGCACGTTTTCCGCTAACCAAGTGTCACAAAGTAAACATCTGATTTTTAGTTTTGCAAAATTTACCAACTGTAAATTTCCTGTGTCTAAGCAGAGAAGCAGTATTTTAAAAGACCTTACGTTTTATAAACAGTAATTGATTTGTTGTTGCTGTTAAGAGATGAGCATTTTTGTCTGGTAATGAACTGCCACAAAGGATAAATCAGATTTTTAGTCTTGTGTTGAAAGTCTGTTTTATAATATGTTCACCACCGATGGCAAAAAAGATATTTTCACTTTTCTGAAAAATTCACCAACTGCGCAATTCGTACTAAGTAGTGCAAGGTAAATAGTATTTCAAAAGAGCAGAAGAAATCTTATGTTTTTTGAACAATAACAACATTTGTTGTTATCTGTTGCTAACAGACGAGCACGTTTTCTGGCAACCAAGTATCACGAAGTAAACATCCGATTTTTACTTTTGCAAAATTTACCAACTGTAAACTTCCTGTGTCAAAGGAGACAATCAGTATTTCAAAAGAGTTTATGTTTTATGAACGATAATTAATTTAGTTTGAAGAGATGAGCGATTTTTCTGGTAACGAACTGCCACGCAGTTTAAATCAGATTTTCACTTTTGTATTGAATATCTGTTTTACAATATATTTACCGTCAATGATCCAAAAAAAAAACTTTTTTACTTTTCTGAAAAATTCACTAACTGCACAATTCCTGTCAAGCGATATAAGATAAGCAGTATTTCAAAAACACAGAAGAAATCTTTTGTTTTTTGAACAATGACGATATTTGTTGTTCATCTGTTGCTAAGAGACGAGCGCGTTTTAAGTGTCACGAAGTAAACATCCGATTTTTACTTTTGCGAAATTTACCAACTGTACATTTCTTGTGTCTAGTCAGATTAGCAGTATTTCAAACAAGCTTATGTATTATAAACAATAATATTACTTGTTATTAATTCGGTGTTAAGAGATGACCATTCTTTTCTGGTAACGAACTGCCACGAAGTATAAATAATATTTTTTTTTTAATCAAAATTATTTGTTTTTCTCTGTTGCATCAGTACTGGTCAAAACAGAATATCTCAAATAAAGCTATTCTGACAGACGATAACTGGATGTGAAACATCTGAGCAGAACTGGATATAATTCTGTAAACTATCTCTATAAAATTGTAGCTTTCTGCCTAAAAATACACAATTGAGAGTTCTTCTTTATTATCAGCAACATGATATTACACAGCTTCGACAAAAACAAATCTCTTTTCTCACGTATGCGTAATGTAAGACATTGCAATAAGGCTTCAACATGCACACTCTGGAATGCACTGGAAAAGATGAATGTGGAAAGAACGGAATACTGTCCTTCCATTTATAGTTTTATTTGAGATAAACCTGTGTTTTTGAAGCTTTATCATCTTGACATCCATTAGGTACAAGAAAAGATAGCAATAAACTTCACTGTTAAAAATTTCTCTTCTAAATAAATGCATTTTCACCGGGTGCTTTATCAGCCTGTAGATAACAAGACAACATAAAGTGGAAGGCAAATTACAGCATGTAATCTCACACCTCATCTAATATCCTCTGATTCTCCCAGCCCATATACATTTGATAACAGCCCCCGATTAAGCTTTCGTGGTAGTTTTCTCCAGCTCAGTTGTGACACAACAAAGATGGACACAACATAGCAAAGAAAACAAGATTTAATTTACACAAAAATAGGAAGGAAATTGCATGAAACAAAACAGAAAATTCACCATTAACGAAACAGCACAATATTTCCTAAAACTGAGCAGCAACAAAACAAGACCGTTTAATAAAAATTCATATAACTTGTTTTTTGTATCAACATATGAACATCATTGTTTAAAGCCCTTATTTTGTCATCCTATGCCACTTATGCAATTATAAACCATATATCAATTGCTTTAACCCTACCACAACGAACGTGTCGCCGACGACACGGCCAAATTTGCAGTACCGTAATTCCTCCACAATCGTCGCTATTGGAAAAATTCCAACGGTTTCTGAAAGGGGAGACGTTGCACTTTCCAGCCAATATCGGGTTATTACGGTAATTTCACAGCTGCCGTAGCAGGGAGTGAAATTAATATGAGGGGCACTCTTTTAATAGACGGTAAATTGCGAAAATAACATGCTGGATATTGAAAGTTCCAGTTGTTGTGGATAAATGGGAAAATAATATTTACTCGCAGGACATTTAAAGAACTGCATACAATGAAAATAAGCAAAAAATATCCAGTCGGACACTTTGAACTTAGGTGAGAAAGAGTTCCACAAACACATTTTCGCGTACCTTGACAACCAGGCACAGGAGAGTCCCAGGCGTGGTAGCCCTGCGACGTACGGCGGCAAGTCGCCGTGCCGTTGCCTATGAGACGGTAACCGCGGTCGCAAGCCCAGCGCACCACACTGTTGACATGACCGCCTGTCTGAGACGATATGGAGCCGTGGAGGGGCGAGTCTGGCGTGGAGCAGTACAGGGCTGCGGTGGAACAAACATTTAGAAAAACAAACCATGTAAATTCTATGAAACAAAAGGGCTTACAGACAGGAAGGCACAAATCGATTCATTCATCGTTCTCTACTTGAATCACGGAAGGCTAAAACCAGTCTTAAACTACTACCGTGTCGGGAACCACCTTTCCACCCACACAACTAAAAACAAACATGATAACTTTAAAACTTGCAGACGTTCTATTAGGATATCACTGAACTTATAACCGCAAGCGTATAAAATAACTATACAAAAACCTGTTAGAGGAGAAGTAATAGCATTTAAATTGTAATCACATTAAGAGCAATTATTGTACATTTTGAGGAAATCTTTAAAAAAAAAAAGCCTTGAACAGAAAACTACAGAATCTTTATTAGGAAAGCAATATGATATGACTATTTGAGTGCCTATGACAAACATTATGTTGGACTCAGAAGTCATTAGTGAAAAAAATTATGACAATCTCATATTAAGTATTAATTTTGATAAAGATTCAGTAGAATTTCCTCTGTGTCATGGCTGTCCACTGAGAGTAAATGAAAATGTAGAGTTTCCAAAATGTTTTTGCTGCCTTACATTTATAACACTTTGCTTTATTGTGATACCTAAATGTTTCACACAGATTTTGAACGCTATTAGTTTTTTTTTTTTTTTTTTTTGTATATTTGTTTTTTGTTGAATCATTATGAAGAAGAATGAAGATATATTTTGCTGCTGTAGTCTTCAAACCCATAGAGACTAGAATTATCCTTTGCAAAAAATAAAATCACTCTTTGGTGTGACAATTCTTATTGTGGGAAAATGACTCTATCAATAAAAAGTAAAAATAAAAAATAAAAAAGGAAAGGAATAAAATAGTAAAAAGAAGGATTTTCTATGTTGTAAAATGTAGAAAATGTTTTTTTTTTTTGCTATACACACCTGTTTAAGAGAACTCATAATTGGATAAAATCAGCTTTTCACTTTTCAAAGTTTATTATAGGAAATTATGCACAAAGTTATTGGGAAACAGTATGCAAACTCGTCCCACATTTCCTCCTTTAAATACAATCTATGATGGGCAAGAAATGTTCTGCCATTGGCCTGATTTTGCAGGTCAAAAAAAAAAATAAAAATCTGTGTTTTTAAGTACAACACATGCTTAACACCTCTCGTCAATGCTCACATTAATCACGTCCAGCCAAAGAAGGTTACCAAGAATCTTGAGAGGCTTATAATTCATCATACAGAGCAGCGGTGCTTTAAAGGTTAAAGAAACAGCCTCCCTGACTGGAGGCTGTGGGGTGAACAAGCAAACCGTGAACAGGTAAAACTGTATTTTGCTCTTTAACTGTCAAAAACGCCCTTGAAATAGAGCACTCATGCCTCATTACCCAGCGGCGTGAAGTTGTACTCAGCACGACCAGGTGCTACATTGTTCACATGTAAAGTTTTAGTAAAACACCATCTGTACTTATCAAGATAGGTTTTGTTTAGTTTTTTTTGTCAGACGGACACAACTTGAGGACTAACCGGTCAGGCAAGTCGGTAAACTGCTTTGTGAGGCAGACAGAAGTCTAACAACTTGTAGATGAGTTAAGCAAATAAAGTGTATCGGGGAACCAAATTTCTTAAAATATCTTCACATTTTAATTTTTGTCATTGATCAGAAGATAAAAAAAAAATAAAAAAGGCATTTTTAGTCCTTCTGTCTGACTCGCTCTCCATGCATTATAGTATGAAATAGTAGTAAAGTAAAGTTGGGATACATACTTTGGTACTCACCAACATAGCGAATTTTGAAGCCTTTCTTGTTGGTGCCGTGATCTGAGGACCAGCGGACTAGAAACTGATGACCGGAGGTCGTGATGTTGAAGGGTGTTGGCAGGTCTCCGCTCAGCGTTGCCAGAGTTGGACTGTTGGTTGTGGGGCCTAGGTGAGACGAGAGACAAAGCACTGGTAAGCACAGAGAAAATCATTTGGACACCTTGTTTCTTTACATTTTTCCAGTTTAATATAACTTCATTAATATGCTGGGTACACAAACAAATTAAAGTTGATCTTTCCCTTCATTTAACTGCTTTCCTCTCCTTAAAACGCCTTTGCTGGACTTTGGTTCCAGCCATGATAACCTAGCAGGAAATTAGCCTGCTATTATTGCAATTGGTTTCCCATAATCTCCAAAGATCTGAACGTTTTAGTGAACTCTGTTGTTCGGCTGAAAGGACATTTCTGTCTGAATATTTATTAATTTAGCTTAATTATTTTTGAAGTTTACAAAGCATAGGAAAAATTAGCAATTAGTAAGCTCTAAATATTAATTAAAGTGTTAATCTTTGAAAAATAAACCCTTTTATTCATCTTTCTGTCCAATAGATTGATTACCTGACAAATATATCAGTCTCATCAGATGACAAACCCGACTTTGGGGGAAAAAAACACCCCTCCTTGACAAGTTATGAATAAATTGTAGATATTGTTTGAAAACGCAATTTCAATGTCACTGTGCACACCAAGGCCAAATTTCTGCCAGACCAGTAAAATCAAGAAAGAGCCTATTTGCAACATGAAGTAGGCTAAAGCTGCAGAGTCCAGCTGAGCTTCAGATACACACAGCTCCACGCATAGCCCAGCAGCAGCAGCACCTGGTGGAAATGCCGTATGCTAAACTTATCATATAAACTGCGTCCAATGCTCCTAAGAATGGTTCATATCCACATCATGGTGGAGAACTGATGTGATGACGTGCTGAAGGTGAAGTCTCTGAAAGAATAGGAGGTTCTTAAAGAGACAGAGGTTAATTTCAAGGCGTCAAATTGCAAAGTCAAATTTATTTTAAGTCATGTTTGATATAGACAACATTTTCATAGCAACCGAGGGTAATATAGTTACTTGATTGTGCTAAAATACATCATTCCATCTCTTTAATAAGTATTCTAAAGATTTAATTTCCACCGTAAACTTCACTTCTAAGTGGAAAGAAGAAAAAAAGCAGCATGTACAGTAGAATTAGCTGTGGCATCTTTGTCCTTTAGATTTGTTTTTGCAACTCTTTTTGGTTAATTAAATCATTAGTAAATAGACTGTAGTGTGATTAAAAATAAAATGAATTCTTGATTACAGGTTCCAGATGGATTTTCTTATATTCTTTGCATTTTAATTAAAGTTGAATCAAGTTTGGTTGAAGATTAATGTCTTATCTTCAGATTTCTCCTGCCTATAAAAGTGTGATACAATATTTTAAGGGAAAAAAAAATTAAAAATCTATCCCTTAAATGAATTTTTGATAAATTATGAGACTGATAAATTTGTGCAGATAGTTTAACATAGCTTATCAATGCTACTCTTCTTAAAAGAGTGTTTGTGGGTAGAGGTGTGTGGAGAGTTTGTTTACCATCAAAAATCTCTAGCACATCAAACTCCCTCTCTGTGTGGAAACTCTCAAAGGTTATGGTGACATTGTATCCCTTTTCCACGTTAATGCTCCAGGAACACATCTGGAGGTTCGGGTAGCTCTCCGGCCACCCTGGGCTCAGGATGACACCCGATGAGTCGTATCGCACGTCGTGAGCGGGGCATTGAACTGAGAGTGGGGACAATTAGCGAAGTTGGGGAAGAAGTGTTAGGCGAGGACACACTTTTACCTAGAAAGCTGTAAAAAAAATCAGGTGCTGGAAATGTTTGAATTCACACCTTGGCATGTAGGAGAAGGGGCATCCATCTGCAGTCTCTCTCCCAAGCGACAGGTCAGAATTTCATTGCCAACCAATGAGAAGCCCGGATGGCATCGATATCTGATGATGTCACCTGAAAACAAAAGAAAAATCAATTTGAGGAAAGTTGCTTTTTTTTTTCATTAATATGCAATCAGGAATGTGTAATATTGTGCAACTTTTTTATAACTTGATTATGCTAATCCAATTATGACCAGAATCATAAAAAGACATTATGTTTTATAGCTGTAGAAATGTAAAACTATTACAAATATATTTATATAAACTACATATTGGTAGAAAACAAACACCATATTTTGGGATGTATTCTGAAAGTTAAGCAGACATGGTACAACTGAATGAAAGTGGCTCAATCCCCCAGGTTTATTTATTCCATATATTAACGCACTTTTCAAATTTAGAATCCATGAAATTTGAAAAGTGCATTGATTCACACGGTGGAGCGGTAATTTCCATCAGAGAGCACTGCTGATGACATGTGATATGCACAGGGGCGGATGTTTCGGCAGATTCACCCAGAGGCTGGAATGTTAAATCTGAAAGGAATTATAAATGCAGAAAACGTCTAACGACCACAGCTCACACTACAAGTGCCTTAATTAGTATGTAAAATATTAAAACAGCCAATTAGGAGAAAAATGGGAGCATTTGGCAAAAATCTTTAATTACGATTTCCTTTAACCAGAGTTCCTTCTTCCATATTTACAAAAATTAAACCCTTACGAATTTCTGACAATAGATTTTTTTTAATGCATCTCTGCCATACAGGTCAATACATTTCCTGCCCATCTTGTCATTTTAGGTTGGACCATCAAGTGTTTTTAGCAGCTGTGCCACTTCCTTTCTACTTTTGGAGAACAAAGTGCTCCATGAAATGCTTAAAGTGTAGGACGTTGTTATTAACTGAATACTGCTTTAAACGTCTCCGCGACTTTATCCGTGACCTGTCTGGCTTTGGGACTAAAGTGACTATAAAAGGAATAAAACTGTACATAACTTTTTTGTGTGAAAACCCAATACAATAATGAAGTTTGTGGCTGTTACTTGACAAAATCTGAAAAAAAAGTTTAAGGGATTATTTATAGTTTTGCAAGGCACTCTACCCAACTAGGGGGAATTTTACCCCCCCAACCCGACATGTTACACAATTCGTACGGAGAACTCGGATGACTGGAAAGTTATAACTTTCTAGTTTGCATCCAGTGTCAAATTGACCCATCCAGAGGCTTGACAAGTAGACAGACAGCTCACCTATCTCCAACTCGCCATCCTCCATCAGCATGTCAGCATTTGGTACTTCTGGGGGAGGCTGGCAGACTCTTAATTGGTAGGCTTGGAGCACAGACGGAGCACAGGAGAGAAAAGAGAACAAAGAGAGAAAGATTTTGTAAGAAATATGGGAAATATTTGACATGATGTAATCTTAAAGCCAAGATTAATTAAAAAAAATAAAAATTAAATAAAATATAAATCTCATAGCATTAAAATGAGTCACTCTCTAGTGGAAACATATAGACAGCTGTGAAGTGATAAACCAAAACAACCTGTTTTCATTTTAATCATGGCATGCAACAGTTTAACTTCACTTTCTGGGTTCGGGTGGTTTAGGTCAGCAAAGCACGGAATCAAAAACAGAGCAACCTCACAGATACTGCACTGCCTTGACTCATAAAAAGAAACTAACTTCACAGCCAGTGAGCTGAAGGCTGTAATCAATATTACTGCATGAGTGTAGATCACTCACTAACAGAGGCACAGGGTGAAAATACAGACGGACAGACAGACGAGCCTGGAGAAGAGGAGGATGAGAGAGGGCTGAGGGCTGTAAGTCAGGATGAAATTGACTATGAAAATGAGACCTGCCAATAGTCTCTGCTGCTCTCATGCATATCAAAGCCTTGTGGTTTGTGTGTGTGTGTGTGTGTGTGCGTGTGTGTGTGCGTGCCACTACATCTGAATGTGTGCACGGGGAAAGGATCACTGTAAGCAGTCATTGATCTCACTAAGCTTTAAGACCTTTTTTTTTTTTTTTTAGCAACCTTCGCATTCAAGTCACATCTGCTCATATCCATGACAACATCATCCACCACTCTGCGGGCTCCAGCGTCTGTATGGGAGAGCTGGCATTCACAACCCTGACCCAAAGATAAATAAACAGAAGGACAACAACAAATATAAACATCCCCAGCAGTAATTCGATGCGTCTTTCGGGGGTTTATTTGGCATTTCAAACCGAATTTGCACTTCTGCAGCCGCCTCGGATGCAAAGAGTGACATTCTGAATTTCGGTCAGGTCGCTGAAGGACGCAGAGGAAGAATAGGGGAAATACTTTTTTTCTTATTGTGACAAGCTTCTTCCTCAAATTATGCAGTCCACTCAGAACCAGAGACGGCGTTACTGTTCAATTATTGTTTTTGGACAATAATGTCGCCTAGCATGAAATAATGAAGAATCACTGAATGCATGCCATCCTTCTCTTCAAATTTTCTCCTCATCAAGATAACAAAAAACAAACTACTGCCTATCAAATTGGACTAGAGCCTTCGCAAGAGTGACAGCTGACAGTTCTAACTTGCCTCAAGAATTCAATAACGCCATGTGTACCTTCAGAGCAGGAGGAAGTCTGCTGAAACACAACCTGAGATTCTCTCGGCGACAAAGAGCAAAACAGGGTCAGGGGACTACAGGTACGTGCTTTTCTTTGCTGGGAAGTTTAGTGTGAGGCCGAGTGAACGTGTGGGAAGCTTGAGAAGAGGATGCGATGAAAATATAAACCGAGACCGATTATAAGCACTGCTATCAAGTTAAATCATAAGCACGACACGCTCCGTTGACAATCCAGCAGCTTCAATGAAATGTGATGGTTCATTTAAAAAAAAAAAAAAAAAAAACCCATCCACAGCTTGATGGCGACCCATCAGGATGGCTGAACAGAGCACATGAAGTTCTTGAAATTTGAACATCTCCGCCCTAAAACAGCCCGAGGTTATATAAAAGATACTGTTTTGGCAAGAAAGACCTTGCAGCAGACATGAAACGCATTTTCATAACAGGGAGAAGATTATTTTATCCATAAAATTATATTTTACTGTTTTTTTGTTTTTTTTAAAGACTTTTGCTTTTTGTGACCTTGTTTTATCTAATTTCTCTTTGCAAAAACTCTGTCATGAGGCCCAAAGTTACTTATGCCCATGGCAGATTTAGATTAAAGTAATCTTTTACAACATTTTTTTTTTTTTTTTCTGAATATAAGTTTTATTAATGTTATGGCAGATCCAGCCTCAGTTTTAACCTAAGTATGGGAGCTAATCTATGGAGAGAAGCAAAGTTTAGGGAAAAGGCATTCCAATGATAAATGATCAACATACCAAACATGCAAAATTCTAAGCATATTTTAGTTCGTAGATGCGTTTAATTCATTTTAGCAGAGTTAACCTTAATATAGATAATATTTTTTAAATAAGTGGATCCCGTTGAAGAGGATAATTGATGCTATCCTATTTTTCCTAGAGAGAAAACCTTTTGTTGCTTGAAAAACCAACATTACTACTTACTCTCATACCCTAATTTGTGCACATTTTCTAAACATCAAGTTTAACTTAAATGCATAACTTTACTTATATGGACAATTTTAAGTTGTAATACAGATGATTATATAACTTTCCCTGTATATTCAATTCAAAAATACTTCATTAATCCCGAAGGGAAATTAAATGTTGCTGTGACTCATATCGTCCAAGTTTCTTCAAAGATTCGTCCTCAATCATGATGATTGTGAGCAGGAAATACTTCCTGGTTCTTCTACATGGACTTTTTTTTTTTTCTTTCTTAGTATGTGTGTCAGTGTTACCATTTTAAAAAACAAAGACAAATACAACTTTCTCTTTAATCAGCACATCAATTGAGCTGGAAACCAAAATATTACAGACGACAAACCTAAGCTACCCAAGTGATACCTTGCACTCCGGCTAAAATGAAAACAAAACAAAGCAACCCCTATTCATTACGTTATTGGTTGGAAGGGCTGCGGAATGGACTTTGATCAAGTTGCGAAATGCTCCTGAGGTGAATTGAATTCAACATCTAATTATTCAAGGCACTGGGGTTGGGCAGACCTTAATGAGGATGAAGTTAAACACACTTCAGCACAATGAGGAAACTAATCAGTCTCATAATTGCAGCTACATCTAATAACAGCATTATGGTTTCATTACTGTACTCCAGGAGAAAGGAAAAAAAGATAACAGCAAAAAAAAAAAAAACTGTTAATGAGAGTGACACCTGAAACTGAGCAGACCAATTCAGATGTCATGCTCCACTTGCACTGTACAGCAGCACACTTAATATCACACCAGCTCTGATTGAGCCGTACGTCTTACCATGGTAGCTTAAGACAAAGAAGCCTGACCCGGAGAAGTCGGAGTGGAATTTAATGAGGATGATGTTGGAAGTTGAGTAGACAGATTCCAAAGCGGTATTCCCACTGAACTGGCCTATCTGAGGGGATGATTGATCTGGACCGTCCCTGTGGAGAAACAAAGAAAGATTCCCTCAAATGTACAAAAAAAAAAAAAAAAAAAAAAAAAGGGAAAAAAAAAAGAGGAAAACACCCCCAAAAAAAACCCTTAAAAATA